GGTTAGTGTGAATAAATATATATATTTAGAACAAATATAGAAAGCAGATAAAAAACCAAATATAATCATCCTTACTAGTATTTTCAATAATTACTAAGTTGTGAGTGCATAAAAATTATAAAGAAATCATTACATCTAATAAGATTTTAATGCACATTTTTTCTTCCATTAATGCCTTAATGCATAAAATTATATAAATGTATGTAATTCGTTAATTTACTATAGTTATATTAAAAATGTTGAAGATATATCAGAATTTTTACATATTGTACAAAATACTAATTTGAATTTAACTGATTTTTGGTTTAAGTTTTTTCTTCAAAAACTATGACAGGCATTAAGGGAATAATATAGGTAAGGAACATCCTTCAAAAACCATAGAAATATGGATTGATAACTTATTTTTCATTAGTTTTTTCTTTGCAATCAAGAAATTTATGAGACTTTGTAAAGCCATTTAAAATATTTTTATCTTTTTGTAGAGAACACTTGTTCTTGTTAACCTGTACATTTTATGAGAAATTTATTTGTAACATGCCTGAAGAATGTAATTGCATAACTTGTTGTATTTGCTTATGTATAATTCACTGAAAGAAGCTTTTGACAACACATTAAAGTGAAAAAGCTTCAGTTCATATGTAGAAATGCGTATGCCTGGCCATATTGGAAATATTAATTATAGATGGACTATGAGGTGATTTTTTTAACTGTTTTTTCAAAACTTATTTTTAGTAAGTAATTCAAGTAATATTGATGTGATATATTTGATGGCATGATCACTTCTGTGAAAGTACTAATAACTCCTAATGGAAATAATTATCATATTTAATGATCATGTAAATATAAAACTGCAAGTGATATTTTATTATGTTTCACATGTAGGCCCAAACCTCCTCTCATAGAAAATGAAGCAGAAGCTGCTCTAAATCATGTTCTTCACCTCATTTTGACATGTGGCAGATACAGAACATTTGATAAAAGAGAGATATTTTATCATGTAATAAATATCTTTTCTCATGTAACAAAATATATTAAGAATGTAAGTAGCTTCCATACAGACTGTGATTTAACAGAGTTAACTAGGAGTACACTTAGCAAAGCACAAGATTACACATCTCAGTGGATGACCAAACTGTTGCCAGAAACTTTAATGGAGTATAACACAGAAAAAAGAAAATATTGGATCAGAGATTTTCGAGAGATAGAGGTGAGTGAATAGAGGAAGTCATTTTCTAACAGCTTTATTAGTGGTGAAAGTAATAAATAGAAGTTTAAGAAGTAGGAGTTCTTTGGCTTGTGAATAGTTGTAACATAAATTTTTTTATACAAAATTGACAATGTAAAGAATGATTAGAACTTAGAAGTGATAGACTAAAGGGAAGGCAGCCATTTAACATCACTCACTACAGACTTTTGGGCTACTTTCTCTACCAATAAAAATTGGGATTGACTGTCACATTATGACGTACCCACATCTAAAAGAGTGAGTATGTTTGATGATGGAATCAAAATTCTGATTGTGAGTTGAGTGTCCTAATCACAAGGCCATGCCAGGCCCCTAGAGTTATAGATACTGCTGCAATTTTAATATGAGCTTTGTAATGACTTTAGATAAAAAACAAGTTTTATTTCATTTTGTTCCACATTTTACTTGTTATATGTGTAAAATTATTTAGTACAGAATCATGAATTGAATGGAAGAAGTGTGTAGCATGGTCTGATGAGCTTTTTCTATATTGGACAAAAACCACATGACAATCTTGACCCTGCTTTTTTATTTAGTTCCAACAAAGTAAGCTCTTTATAGACTGTAACTTTATATGATACTAGAAGATGACAGATGTCTGTTTACTGTAATTACTGTTTTAAGATCTTTAATTACATTCTCTCTTAAATTCCTCATCATCTTCTTATAAGTTAATTCAAAACCATTTACATACTGTCTGTCAGTGTGGCATGTTTATTAATTTTTGCTTTTACTTGTTTATTTATGTACAAATATATTCATATTTATAACATTGTTAACCCCCCTTCCATAAGTTCATTATTGTGAGGGCTCTAAACCCAATAAAGCTTAAAGGTTTTTATCTTGGAAATATGAAATGAGAAATTTCAGGCAATGCATAATGTTATCATTATGTTTTGTATATTATGGTATGTTTTAATAAATGGTGCAAGCATTTATTCAAGTAAGTAAGGTTTGAAGAATACTGATTTCTTTTGCATGTTCATACACATGTATTAAGTGGTGCCAGTGAGTTTATCGGACCAGAATGTAATTAAAACTTCAGCCTTTAATGTTTGTCAAAATCACACATTGAGTCTAGAATACCAGATTTAATATAAATTTGATAAATCTGACTCTTAAATGTCTTGATGTTTCTAGATATGGTCAAAAATGTTGAGCTGTGAGTTCTCCTCTGATGTTCAAGATATGTGGGAAAATAGCATTTTAGCTTTTATCCGAACTCGCATGAAAATTGTAAGAGCATTTGATATTCTTTTTGTATTTACTATGTGTTAGAAAACAGATTAGCAGCACTATAGTGTTTTATTA